TACAGTGGTCCTTATCCATTGGTAGGTTCGGCTTAATTTATTGTGTTATTTAACCCCTCTATATCTTTACTTGACTTCTATCAGATTCTTCGTCTGTTATTGAGAGGGGAAACATTGGAGCTTCTAATTATTATTTTGAAATTATTTTTACTCCCTTTAATTCTGCTGATTTAAAAAAAAAATTTAGTCTCTTCCCTAAGTGCATGAATACTTATACTTGATTTTTTGAAATTTTGATTAATATAAAGTGTTTATCTTACTCTTCTGTAAATTTTTAAACTTAAAGACTGTTATGTCTGATATTATGAAAGCCACTGCTGCTATTTTTTGGTTACTATTAAGGATATTAACATTAAGATTTTTTTTCTATCTCTTTTACTTCCTGTCTCTCTGTGTCTTTGAATTCAAAGTATATTTTTTAGAGAGGGCTTATAGTTTCACCATTTTGTTTTAATTTATTTTGTAAATCGGAATTTAGATCAAAAAGCTTAATTCACATTCACTTAATTACTGATATGAAAGAACTTACTTATTAAATTTTTTCTATTTCTTTTTACAGTGTTTTAGCTTTACCCGTCCCCTTTTACTTTACTATATTTTGTGTTTAGTTGAATTTTGTAGTAAAACATTTAAATGTCTTTATCATGTTCTTTTTTGTGTAGTCCATTTAAGTTGGTTTTGAATGTCATACTCTATTCATTGGCTCCCAAAAAGGAAAAGAAAAATGAAAAGGATTACCAGCCCATTAGATTTCCTGAAGCCGCCTCACTTGTGGTCAGAGGATCTTGCAACTGTACGGTGAGATGCACATGTGCTTGCTTGACTCTTTTCTCCACTCCTGTGGTAGGAAACAGCAGTCAGGGATTTGTGGGCACACAGACCTCTGGTCTTGTGAGAGCAAAGTCCTTTTCTCCCACCTTTGCTTCATATGCAATGAGCAACCTGCCCTGGGAGCATGGGCACAGCTGTCTGCCCACATGTTTGAGGAGGAATAGAGAGCTTTACATTACTATCTGAGCCTCCCCAGGAAGGCAAAAGCCTTCAATGGGCCTCAGGCTTTCGAAATAGTTCAAACAAACAGATTCTGCCAGTGCAATTACTGTCTAATAAGGAGATAGACAATGGTGCTTTCTACTCTGCTATCTTCCCAGAATTTACCTTTGCTCAACAAGTTCATATTTATTGAGTGTAAATGAATCTGAGTACAAGCATATTTGAAGCCCTAAAAAAAAACTATAAATAAGTTCCATGAAGGGAGTAAACCAAGTGATATGCTTTTAAAGAGACAGTCAATATACTATGAACACATTGATACTACAATCCAAACAAGTAAAAATACTGACTGTATAATTCAAATGGCCCCCAAGCTATTAGCTTTAGAATCTCCACATGTATTTGTAATGGTTTCCCTAAATCTAAACTCCAAGGACCGTTCCCAGATGGTGTTTATCAGGCATCTATAAACATACCACATATACATATTTATTTCTTAAAATCTTTCAGATAACCAAATATGTGATCATTTTCAAAAGATATGATATTGGATAGACATTATTTAGTTGTCTCAAATGGGCCAATGAATGAACACTAATGGTAATAGATAACTGGGATATTTGTAAAAATTTACATAGATTCAAAATACTAAATCACAATGAAATATGACATAGCTCCATTTGAATACATTTGGAAGTTGAATCATCAGAAATTCAATTCAGAAATGGCACAATGTGAATTTATACAATTAGCAGATATTGATTTTTCAACCAAATAAGCACAAATAAAATATGTTCATATAGAGGTGCATAATTCAGAAATATCTGCAAAATTATACTATTTTTAGAGGAAATATATGCTGCTGTTGAAAAATATCAGATGTATTTTATTATCAAAGAGAAAATAATAGAAATTTAAATCCAGAGACAGTGAAGAAAATGTATAAGAAAGTAGCAATAGTCACAGACTTAGAACTTTTTACCTGAATGTGAAATTCAATACAAACATTAATATTTCCCTCTATATTTTTAGAGCTCCTTAGATAAATATTATGGCAGTTTGTATTACTCACGATTACAAGACATGGATTATTCTGATGTGTATTGGTCAGCTTTCCTATTACTGGGACAAGAACCTGACACTCTCAGCGTAAAGAGAAGAGGTTTACTTTGGGTCACAGTTTCAGGAGTTTCAGGCTTTCAGGCAGAGACACAATGGTAGAAGGGCATGGTAGAAGGAAGCTGGTCTTTATGGTAGCCAGGGGGCAGAGAGAGTGACAGAGAGTCAGAAAAGAGGTAGTATGGGGCCTGAAATAATCATCAAGTTCAAGCCCTGATGGTCAATCAGGTCACACCTACTAACAGATCCTTTAGCTCTGAATTTATCAGGGATTAATCCAGAAGTGAGATCAGTATACTCACAATCCAGGAATCTCTTAATACAGGCAAGTTGACAATCAATGTTAACTGGCCCACCATGGTCACCGGTAAAATATGAAATCAAAATCATGATATTCAACTTAATTTTCTATTGGAAAGTCAATTATTCCAGGGAACTATTAGAAAGCTATGATAATTTCATGCAAATTTAGGTTTTTATAAGACTATATTTGACCTTTTATTTTATAAAAACAAGTTACTGCCTCACACCCAATTAAAAACTGTAATAATGATCAGAATGGCATATTGAAATCATTTAGGACCATTTTTAATAAGGTACTTCATGAAAAAGATAAAAAAATTAAAAGGCTGAAATGATTGTTTTAGAGCTAATAAACATTTTACTGGTATTGTATTTTTAGACCATTTCATCTTTATTACCTTGAAAGATTTAATACATTTCTTAATGAGATTATAAATATTTTAGTAAGCTTTCTAATATTTTTCAGTCTTAGCACTGTGGATTATATTCAGGGTCAAATCTTCTGAAGTTATCATTGTACTATATTCTGAGTTACAGAATATCCATATTTACCACATATGAATGATTATTTTTGTTTACAGTTGAATGAACACATACTTTTGTAACTCTCACACTTTTTAGTTAATCATTTTCTGTAGAAAAATATCTTTAAGATATATATCCATATAGTTTTATCACAAATATATATTTAATTGTACATATGATATATAAAAGATATATATAAGATGTATGTAAAAGATACATAAAAATATGTATATATATATATATGAAGGAGAGAGAAATAATCGCTGTTCTTTATTCAAATATGGAAATCAATGGAAAGCTGAACTGCTCTTATTTTTTAAAGAAATTTATTTTAACTGATACATAACAATTGAAATTATGCATATTTATGAGTTTGATGTATTCTTTTAATACAGTCCCATGATTGCTAACAAATTTACCCGGAGAAAAATTTTACCAATGAAATATATATTTTAACCATACTATAAATTTTTTAAAATCGTCCTTTATATATTAGCATTAATTAAACATGCTAGTATTCAAATGGACTCTAAGCATCATCTTGGGTTGACCAAGGAAGGATCTTGCCATTCCTTAGCTTCCTATATGCTCTACACTTTCACTATAGTTTCAAGAAAATAAAATCATTTTGCAGTGAGTCTTAAATGAAATGGGAATCTCTGCCTTTATTTTCTGTATCACATCTCTATTTGTGGTTTAGCATTTACATGAGTCTTAACTTTGTTTCACATTAATAGCAGTATCTATGTCTACACCATTTATCTCATTTCATTGTTATTCTTGTCATGCTGATATAAAGTTTTCTCTGGTCTCTTTTTCCATCAGTGACCATAAGGTACGGTAATTTTTCATTGTTTCTCTCTCTCTCCTACTTTCCCTGCTCTCCTAGTTACATGTTCTGTAAAAGATGAAGCATGATTTGCTTCTTAATTCAGCAAAGATTTATTCACAGTTTACTACAGTTCTAAATACTTATGTCTTAGACTATACAATAACCTATACCTTCACAAAGTGTATATTGTAAAAGAAGAGTCAAGAAGAAACATTAAGGAAAAAATATGTTTTATGTGCATAGAAATGGATTCTAAGAAAGAAGAGTATTTTGAAAACAGAGATTTAGTTTTAACAGGGCTGTCAGGGAAGGTCCTTTCATAGGATGATATATGTGCATAAACATGGGCAGAAACATCACATAACTCAAGAGACCTTAAATCCATTTCAATCATGCCTTCTGAGATGTGCAGTCAACAGCATATGAGGATATAAGTAATATCCTAATAAAGAGCTGAAGAAGTCCAGGGAGAAAGCCATGCACATATTGGCAAGGTGAATTCTACGCAGAGGGTACAAATGTAAAGTGTTTTAGACATGCTTAGATGTTTCTGTAGCATCAGTGTGTGGAGTGTGTTCAATACATGAATATTTATGACAAAATTAAAATACCATATATTTACCAGCATGTATTATTATTACTCCTTTTGGTGTTCATCAAAAAAATCTGCAACTATATTCATCTTGTGACCTGTACAGTGAAGTTGTGTAACACAGTGACAATTTAGTTAGGCTTCTTGAAATAGGTGAACACACAAAGAGTTGCAAATATTAGTGGCTTTTCTTTCTAGGTATTTGCATTGTGAAACATCTTATTAAAATATTTCTACATTCTGTGGAGGGATGCCCATTCTCAAAAGAAATCCAAACACATCTGCCTAGTGATTGAAAAATAAATAGAACGGTGGTTTCTTTTGAGATGATGCTATGCTTCCTCCCATCTGGGACTTTTAGCTCAATCAAAACAAAAGGGATGCTTTGGAGACAGAATTAAAGAAATCTTCTGAGCTTTTACAGATACACAGTCTGCTTTAACCCTTTTCAAGTTTCAAGTTTTAGCTCTCTTTCCCTACCTCAATAGTGTTCTAGGGGAACCTTAACTTTTTCCAGTTCCAAATAGTGTGTGTGTGTGTGTGTGTGTGTGTGTGTGCGCGTGTGTGTGTGTTTCCCCAAAGTATGGTTGTTGTTTTTTTTTGGAAACTTGTGTTTTATTTTCCATCAACCTTGTTTCCATTTTGCGTAAGTGTCTGCAGAACAAGCAGCTCAAGACCACTCAGTGGTGGTTCCTACCCACTCGGTGGCCTGAGCAGTGGGGGCTGCAGACCAGTCTTCCGTGGCTAGTTGAGCACTCCAGTCTTCTGTGGGGAACTGCTGAATGGGCACAGAGGGCACCTGCACACCCTCAGACCAGTCTGCAATCTCAGGCTGAGCAGCAGCGAACTCCGGAGCCAGTGCGGTCCATTCGCCCTGGAATTCCTCCTTGGTCACAGCCTTTTCAGCAGCAGCCTGCTCTTCTTCTTTGATCTCTTCGAGATCCCTGTAGAAGTATAGATCAGGCATGACCTCCCACGGGTGTTCGCGGGAGATGATGCCACGCATGAGTAGCACTTCCCGGGCCAGCATCAACCACATCAGCCCTACTGAGTGAGCCCCCTTTTCCGAATTGTACTGTGTCGTCTGAGAATCAACAGGGCCATCTTTCAAGTATTCTTATCTCTCCTTGAAGCTGCTCCACATAAACACTATACTTCTAGCAAGGATTACTATCAAGCTTCACCCATTGGGCCAGAGTGAAGTGTTAGCGACAATCTTGCCCCAAAGTATGGTTTAAATGCAACAACCCAAAATAAACCACCGATTTTAAAATAAAAATAACAGCAGGTCCTCCCTTGCCTACACTTTGGGATATTTAATTCTAAGTATATTGTGAGTAACTCAATTCAACAACCAATTACTGCTTCAAAGACACAACAAAGTCTAAGTAAGAAAGCATCACCCGTCTCGTGTTGCTGAAGTATATGTGCTCTGTGTGAGCCAAGCCCCGTGAAGCGTTGAACCAAACCACCGCAGCAGGTTCCTATCCTCTTGGTTATTCAGCATTAATTTCTTAATGTCCGGTTGGGCTTGCTGATGAGTGGCCTCTATCTCTCAGGTATTTTGCAACATTGATTTCCAGGCTTGGAGTGAATTATTTGTTCGTTTTCTCTTTGCATGATTTAACACAGTTGTATTGCTATGAAGTGGGGGCGGGGGTAGAGAGCTTTTGAATAGATTTGCCCTACTTGAGGTTTTCTGTTTAGTAATACTTACGTGAATGTACGCATTCTTAAAAAGATTGCTAAGATTCCTTTCAGTAAAACGTTCTAAAATTTGCATTGAACTACCAAAGGCTTATAATGAATCATTTTTTCTATCCAACATATATAGTTTGCTGCTAGGATTACTTTAATGATATATTTTCCATGGATATAAAAAATACTCTTAAGCCAAATTAAGTTTTTTTGTCTCAAAAAATGGCTACCAGAAATGTTTTACTATTACATTTTTCCAGAACACTTCCAAAGCTAATATATAATCTCTTTGGATATGTGCTGTTTTATAATTTAGTTCAACTGCTTAGAGAGAAAAAGTAATATCTTTAAGATTTTTCCTTCTTTCTGTATTCTTACCTAATATAACAATGAGTGTTCCAGTTAGACACTTGCCTAACATTTATGCATCAATAATTTCTTTCAATATCTGTTTAATGGTTCTCTGATTTAAAATTGTTTATGAATAAAAACTACCCATACAGAACAGTGTTTTACTTCTGAGTCACTGATGCTCTATTATGAATATTAATTTCACAGCAAGTTTTTGATATCTTTATCAACATTAAAGTTTTTCAAGTAAATGTAAATGTATTTATTACACATATGTAAAATTATCTATTGTGAATATTTTATTTAATTAATATTAGTGCCCATATTAATATTTAAAATGTTACAAAATATATCTAAAGACTACTAAAATATATATAGCTTTTTTTTCTGAAAGAAAGTCTTTACTGAAATATATAATACAATTTTGCATCAATATCAGGTATTTTTTCAATGTCTCTTCAAATCTTATTCTGTTTTAAAAAGTATCAAATAAGTACTTAAATGTGCTTATGTATTTATTATCAATAGAGAGGTATAATAAAAACTGGTCTATATTTCATATTTAGAGGATACAGAATCAGACAAAATAGCTAAACAGAAATGAAAATTATCTTAATGGGTTCAAATATGTATCCCTTCCTTTTGAATGTTCCTGAAAATGCTCTAATACTATGTTTTCTAATGTCAGTGTTGAAGTCATTTTAGAAGAATAAAGTTTCAAGTATTTCCTAATAAACCAACAAGCAAATTCATGTTGTGTTGTGAAGGGTTAGAAATTGGTAGAGTTCCAGGGTGAATATATTAGACTCACCACCTTGTTAACTGCTCAGTTAATTCTTTCTAATTTCACAAAGGACAGTAGTAAAGAACAGTTGTAAAGCAGATTTTGTCTTCTGGTGAATATACTAAACCTAATTTTTGATATTAAAGCAAAGCAAATTATTACAACCTGATTACTGATTAAACTACCACAAGACCCAGTCATTAACCTATATGATTAAAACTTCAAAACCCTTTGCATTTTCACCTAACTTTGCCATATTTATGTACCATATTTAGACGGTTTCACTTATTTTAATAAATACTGGTGAATATACTTATTTATTCAGATAGTCACACAATTTTTCTTATAATAGTAAGCACATAGACCTTAGCAACATCATGAATAAGAAGAAACCACTAAACTTAGAAGCACCTGTTTTTCTTCTCTATAAGGAACATGCGCAAGTGGGTGTGGAGATGAAGGAGAGGAAAGCTCATAAACACACGCATCAGAGCACAGTTTCATAATTATAGATTCATTAAAATGAATTTAGATGTTAATGGTCAGCCAATATGCCAAAGGATATTTCTAATTATCTGCAAATTGTTTGCATCTGTGACCAATTCTACTGCAATACTTCTGTGCCAATCAAGTCTCCCCATCTCTGGATGCTGCCTATTTATGTCTTTGTAAGTGTTGATTGTTATTTTATACTACACAATTTCTCCTTTGCAAGTATTTTTCATCTACCCTGCATACACATGTATTGTTTTCTTCTAAAAACAATACATAATTTTAAGGAAATTTGTATAAAATCAGAAATTAAGTTAGATTGTGATTAGTTTATTCTTAATTTTAGCTTTAACAACTAAAGCTGAGATTACATTTTATATAGCTAGAATAGAAAAATATTGTTAATATATTCAGTACAATTATATTAAACATTTTAAATCAGTAATGAGACAACCACAAGCTGAAGTTCTGAACTTTAACATCCACCCTAAGACTAGGGAGTACTATTTAGGGAGAGTAGGGAAGGCACTATTTAAGATTAACATTCGAAGGCCCCATGCCAACAGAAAAATTTCAAGAAGAAAGTAAATTTCAGTATTAATAAATAAACAAAACCTTCCTGTGGGCACTTCTGCTTTCAAAAAGAAAATAAAAAGATTGCTTTGTGCCAGGAAAAATAAATCTATAAAGGGTTTTCTTACGATTAGAGACAATGGTAGGGAAATAAGCTATATTCTACAAATATTCTATTAACTAACACAAAGTTACTTGTTTTAGAGATTTTATCATTATATTTTTTTTTAGGTTTTTGTTTTTGTTTTTGTTTTTTAGTATCAGAGATCGAACTTGGGTCCTTGTGCTTGCGAGGTAGGCAGTAGAACCACTGAGCTAAATCCCTGGCCCGATTCTATCATTATGTGCTTGTGTGTCTAACAAATAAATCAAGTCCTTATGGCCATGAGTAGATAGAGAAATTTTTGGTCCTTAAGAATGTTTGGGATATATAGAGAATGTAAATATGTAAAGAATGGCCCAGAGTTACATTTGGTAGAGAGAGAAGAAGAACCATTAGCAAAGATGGGAGGAACTTTCTACTTCTGGACTTAGCCTATATGAGATGGGGTGAGGAAAAAATGAAAAACAAAATTCCTAGTTAGATATCCTCTGTAGTTTGGATGACCATGAAGCTTTTATGAAAAATGATATCTATTATTCACTTTTGCTTTAAAAATAAGTTGTTTGTGATAATATAACTCCTGTATATAGCACCAAATCTCAAGGAAACTTTTCAGAGGAAATGAATATTAGAAATATTTTTGAACAGCTAGATTCAGGGTTCTTTTCAGTGGCCAAAATAGTGTAAAAAAGAGTGGGTCCATCTCTAGTGAGTTACAATAAAGGTAAAATATATAATAGAAGTAGAAAATTAAAGTAAAAGTCATTCTGAGAATGTAAATGCTATGAATATCCTTAATGTTATTCAAAAGAATGTTGTTTTTCATTCTAAAAAATGATCTCATCACAATGGAAATAACCAAAAAGGTGATATTTCCTAATAATTAATTTCACCTAGAGGACAAATAGAAAAAATGTATGTTTTTTATTCTGCATAATTGTGATAGAGCTTCACAAAGAAGCTATTATGGGTTTTAGAAGTAGAAGTATTGGTCTTTCCTGATTATACATTCTATTTCAGATATTCTGTAATATATTTACAGAATGGATGTATAAAAAGTTTCTATTCTAGAGAAAATTTCTGGTTAAGAGAATTATGGCTAGTCATGATTTCTCAAGTTGAAGAATTGTGTAAAGAATGTAAATGTTTGATGTTCTCTTTGGACCCTGTCTACCTTTCACACTTTGGTCAATTTGGCTTCCTGTATTCTCTTGAAACAGAGAAATACTTGTACTACCATTTCTGCCTGAACTCAAATGACCAGGCCAAGTCACACTGTGGGAAAGAATACTATTCTTATAGTGGTGCAGGGCTCATTGTTGAGCTCATATACAGGAAATTACACATATGACTTTGAGAATTTAACAATGTAGCTATGGCCTCTATATTTTGTTAGCATATTTTATTTTTTATCCTTTTTGGTGGCTGACATTTCAAATTGAATATCAATTCAGATATGTCAGGGATTTTTTTATTTTGAGAAAGGAAGATTTTTGTCAAACCACTAGTTGTGCTAATTATGTAAAACACTTCTAGATATAATTTTAATGTGTACCTAATAGTTAATATGAATTTTTTCCTGAATGAAATATCCTATGCAATTTTGAAAGAAATTTCCACTTGTAAATAATATCTACATTTGTTTTACCAATATCCTTCAGTTCCCATAATCACAAGTAGACCCTTGAGAAATATATTTTACAAATAAATAAAACAATTTAATTTACATCAATAAAACATGATAGTTTGCATGAATGAATATTTGTATGCTCCTAAATAATAGAATTTATCATATAGTCAGTAAATCAGATATCTGAGTATACTTCTGCACCCAAATAATATTCTTTTATCTTCTATAAGGCAAACATATTTTCTATGTTTAGTTGTTTTCATCTATATAAAGATGATAAAAATAACTACTTGATTTTTGTAAGAAAAAAAGGCGGAAGAGATATAAAGTTCTTAATACAGAACTTTTTGTTTGCATGTATAATGCAATTATTAAATTATAATTAGTGTTTGTTAATGCCTAAATTTTTGTTAGATAGTATGCAAAGCAAATTATTAAGTTTGTGTCTCTTACCCTCACCATATCCTCTAAAAGTTTTAAATACACACACACACACACACAAATCCGTAGGTAGGTATTAGTATTAGTCACGTATTATAAATAATCATAAAAATGGAGTAAGTTAAAAGTCCAGATTTACACAACTAGGTAATGATTTCCTGGTAGCCCTCATTTCAATTTCTCCAGGGCAGAACATGTGATTATTTAGCTCAAGAATTACAATACCTTACTTTCTGCCCTTGTAGATATCAACCATTATCAAATGAGTCTTTTTTCATGTAGTATCCAACTAGAACTCTTCTCAAAACAAATCTCAGTGACCCACTACTGCTAATCAGTTCTTTGCTTTTGTTTTCATTTTTGTTTTTGTGTGCTGAGAATAGAACCCAATACCTCATGCGTACTAAGAAAGTGCTCTACCGCTGAACTGGAACCTCCCTGGATCCTATTAGAGTTTGTAAAATTGAAATATGTTTATTATCCAGCTCTGAAAGGATATATAAAATAGGTACCTTTGTATAATTAGTAACTAACCAAGAAGTTTCAGCCAATCTCCTTTAAAGGAGAAAGTATGAGATTTTCTAATAGGAATTGTATACATAGTAGTCAAATACAAGCCACAGACCGATGACTTTGCCACTTTGCAGCATTTACCTTCGCTCTAACTCTGATTTCTACTATACACAATTTTAAGTGATCTCCAATCCACCA